ATTCTGCAAGTTCATTACAGTATGTTTAGGTGTGTATTTATTTTTTACTTACCTTTGTAGAATCTGTTTCTGAATCTGAGGATTTATGACTTTCATAATTTGGGAAAATTTTCAGCCATTTACTCTTCAAATATTGTCTGTTTCTGTTACCTCCTTTCAAAACTCCAATTTGATTTATCACCTTAGCTTCCTTGTCACTTAATCTTTTTATCTTGTATTTCTCTTTTTTCACTCTGTGCTATAGTCTGAGTCATTTCTTCAGATTTGTTTTTCAGTTATTCATTTTCTCTTCCATTATCTCAAATCTGTTGTTCAGGAATACTAAGGACAACTGGACGTGGTGCCTCACACCTGCAATCCCAACACTTTGGGAGGGTGAGTTGAGAGGATTGCCTGAGCCCATGGGTTCATGACCAGCCTGGGCAACTTGGTGAGACCTTGTCTCTACAACAAATCCAAAACTTAGCTGGGCATGGTGGCACGCACCTGTGGTTCCAGCTACTTGGAAGGCTGAGGTGGAAGGATTGCCTGAGTCCAGCAGGTTGAGGCTGAGGTGGCCGGGAGCATGCCACTGCACTCCAGCCTGGGCAATAGAGTGAGACTCCGACTCAAAAAAGAAAAACATACTAAGGAATACATTTTTAACATTTAGACATTCTACCTATTTAAAAAATCTACCTAGTAAAACAAAAATGAATTACTTTTTTAAATTGCTGTCACATCAAAGAGATATCTGCACTCTTACGTTCTTGCAGCATTAGTCACAATAGGAATTAACCAGAGTGTCCATCAATGGATGAATGTGGAGAGAAGATGTGGTATATGTACAAAATAGAATACTATGCAGCCTTAAAAAAGAAGGAAATCCTGCCATTTGAAACAGCATGAATGAACCTGGAGGGCATTATGCTAACTGAAATAAACCAGGCACAGAAAGACAAGTACTGCAGGATCTCACTCTTATAGACAGCTAAAACCCTTGAGTTCATAAAAGCAGACTATAGAATGGTGATTACCAGGAGCCAGAGGGTAGAGGTGATTGGGGAGATGTTGGCCAAAAGGTATAAAATTTCAGTTAGACAGGGGGAATAAGTTTCCTATTGTACAACCTGGTGATGATAGTTAATAACAATGTATCACATTCTTGAAACTTGCTAAGAAAGAGATTTTTAAGTGTTCTCGTCACAAAGGTAAGTATGTCAAATAATACTTATTTAATCAGATTGATTTAGCCATTCCACTATATATACATATATAGTATATATGTATATAGTAAATATATATAAAATGTGTGTGTGTATATATATATATATATATATGCATATTTCAAAACATATTGTACATGATAAATATCAGGGGTACCAAAAAAATGTGTACACATTTTAAGGATATTCACTGTAATCAGAAGTGTCTGGAGGCTGAAAGTAACCACTTTGAACACCTCTTGTAATTGCAGAAGTCAAATGTGACTTGTATTTATTTTATTATTACAATGTTAATACAATTTTTTCCTTTTTTAAAATGTGTATACTTTTTTGGCACCTTCTGTATATATCATGTTTTGCCAATTAGAAGAAATAAATAAACTTTCTTGAACAGTGTTGTTGAATTAGGTGTGAGCAAGATAATTGAAAACAATCTGGGCATAAAGTTGTAAAAATCTGAAAGGCTTCTGTGCCCAGATTGCTTTGCCGGCATCCCTAATTTTTTGTTCCACCTTAATCAAACCAGAGCATACACTAGATCACTGGTGTGGTTTAGACAAACTCTGCAGATCGACCATCAGTGCAACCATATTCAGAGAAAAACACTTCTGATTACAGCAAATATCCCTTAAAATGTGTACACATTTTTTTGGTACCCCTGGTATTTATCATGTACGTTTTGAAATATACAAGTATATATACACATACACACATTATATATATATGTGTGTATATATATATACACACATATATACTATATATGTATATATAATAGAATGGCTAAATCAATCTAATTAACATAAGCATGGTGGATAAATTTTTATAATTAAGTAAAAATGTGAAAAGTGTGTTTGTATACATACATCTCTCCATCCTTTAATGGGAATTTTTTTTTTTTTTTTTGAGACTGGGTCTCAGTCTGTCACCCAGGCTGGAGTGCAGTGGCACAAACTGGTCCTCACCACAACAGATGACAGAGTCTACTGTCATGATCATGTGGTAGCAGGTGATAGAGTGTTGCTGATAAATTGAGTTTATCAAAAGTAGAGGGAGTGTTATTCATCTTTATGCCCTCAGTCCCTAACACAAAATTTTTGTTTGTTTATTTAATGGTTTGTGTTTTTTGTTGTTTTGGTTTCTGTTTTGGTTTTGAGTCAGAGTCTTGCTCTATGACCCAGGCTAGAGTGCAGTGGCACAATCAAGGCTCACCATAGCCTCAATCTTCTGGACTCAGGTGATCTTTCTGCCTCAGGCTCCCAAGTAGCTGGGACTACAGGTGCATGTCACCACACCCAGCTAATTTTTTATTATTATTATTTTGTAGAGACAAGGTTTCTCTATGTTGCCTAGGCTGGCCTTGAACTCCTGGGCTCAAGCCGTCATTTCACCTCAGCCTCCCAAAGTGTTGGGATTATAGGCATGAGCCACCACACCTGGTCTTTGTTCTGCTTTTTAATTTATATAATTTTATAATGCACAATATGTTGTTTTGAAGATGTATACATTGTAGAATGGCTAAATGGAGCTAATTAACATGAACATTATCTCACATACAGATGGCCCCGACTTAGAATAGTTGGACTTGCAATTTTTTGACTTCACGATGGTGCAAAAATTATATACCTTCAATAGAGACCCATACAAACCATTCTGTTTTTCACTTTCAGTACAGTATGATAAAACAACTTTGGGTTAATCTAACTTTGGGTTAGATTATTTTGCCCAACTGTAAACTAAGGTACGTGTTCTGAGCATGTTTAAGGTAGGCTAAACTAAGCTATGGTGTTCAATAAGTTAGGTGCATTAAATGCATTTTTTTCCTTATGATGTTTTCAGCTTAATGACAAGCTTATTAAGATATAATCCCGGGGGGGAGGGGGAGGGGATTAACAGTAGCAAATATCTGTCTGGGGCTGGGAAAACACCTCTTATCAACAGGGTGTCTGAATGAAACGTAATTGTACACCTAACCCTTAACTGTACCCCACAAAACTATAATAAAAATACTGATTAATTATTAAAAAAAAAAACAAAAAAAACAAAAACAAACAAAAAAAAAGATATAATCCCATCACAAGTCAAGGAGCATCTGTACTTACCTGTTTTTGTGATGCGAAAGCTCAAAATCAACTCTCAGCAATTTTCAAGAGTACAATGCATTGTTGTTACCTATAGCTGCCACATTGTGCAATTCATCTCTTAACCTCATGACTCCTCTCTAACTGGACTTATGTGTCCTTTAACAAATGTCTTCCTAACACCCATCCCCCTCCCCCAGTCTCTGGTAATCACCGTTCAACTCTTTCAAATGAGTTTGATTATTTTAGATTCCACATAAAAGTGAGGCCAGTCGTATTTGTCTTTCTATACTTGGCTTATTTGAGGTAACACAGTGTCCTCCACGTTCATTTAGGTTGTCACAAATGACCAGATTTCCTTTTGTTCCACAGTTCAACAGTATTCGTGTGTGTGTGCGCGCGCGCGTGTGCGTGTGTGATGTGTTCTTCACCCATGTGTTCATTTTTAATACAAAATTAATGTTAAAATTAAATCTTGGCCAGGAGCAGTAACTCAAGCCTATAATCCCAGCACTTTGGAAGGCCGAGGCAAAAAGATTGCCTGAGCCCAAGGGTTTGAGACCAATCTGGGCAACTTGATGAGACCTCATCTCTACAATATATCAAAAAATTGCCAGGCATGATAGCTCACACCTGTAGTTCTGTTTATTTGGAAGGCTGAGGCAGAAGAATCGCTTGAGCCCAGCAGGTCTACGCTGTGATGGCCGTGAACATGCCACTGCACTCCAACCTGGGTAACAGAGTGAGACTCTGACTCAAAAAAAAAAATTAAATCTTTTGGGCAGAAGGATGAAAGGGAAGAAGGGAGGGAGAAAAAAAGAGGGAGAAATAAGAAAAAAGAAGAGAAGAAAGAAAGAGATAGCCAGGTCCCTTTGCTGTACAGGGTTTTGATTTAGGTTTGATTCTGCTCGATTTTGCAATCTATGAAACGTCACTCCACTGAAGGGAAATATGGTTGATTATAGACAACACTTAAATTGTGACTATGAACAACTAAGGGCTTTATTTTATTTTGTTTAATTTTAGAGTTGTAGGATACATGTGAGGATTTACTACATAAATGAATTGCATGCAGGTGAGGTTTGGGCTTCTAGCAGGCCCTCTTGCCCCTGATAATGGACCTGGTACCCGGTGTGTGATTGTGTGTTCCTTATCCCTCCTTTCTCCCTCCCTCCCTTTATGAGCAGTGTCCAGCGTCTATTGTTCCTAACTTTCTACTTTTTGATTCAGAGTGCAGTGGCAGATCATGGTTCCCCGCAGTCTGGACTCAGTGGATCTTTCCACCTCAGCTTCCCAAGTAGCTGGGACTACAGGCACATGCCACCACACCTGGCTAATTTTTTTTATTTTTTATTTTATAGAGATGGGGTCTCACTGTATTTCCCAGGCTAGTCTTGAACTCCTGGGCTCAAGCGAATCTCCAAGTCTCAGTCTCCCAAAGTGCTGGGATTACAGGCATGAGCTACCACACCCAGTTACGAGTCAAATCTGTAAGACCAAACATCCCTGATGTGGATGACTCGGCTTGGGTAGAAACAGAAACCCACTGAAGATAACCTGAGGATAACGAAACACAAAGGAATCTGATGGGTTTGATAGATTTTCACAGATAAACCATAGAGGTCTCAGGGGTAACCTGGGACAGGAACTCCATCTCTGACTCTCAATTTTATGTGACCTCCCTTCCCTCTCTGCTCCCACTAGACACAGGCTGTACATGGAACCAGAAAACCAAACAGAAGTCTCAGAATTCTTCCTCCTGGGACTCTCTGAAAAGCCAGAGCACCAGCCCCTCCTCTTTGGGATGTTCCTCTCGACATACCTGGTCACCGTCTTTGGGAACCTGCTCATCATCCTGGCCATCATCACCGACTCTCGCCTCCACACCCCCATGTACTTCTTCCTCTTCAACCTATCGCTGGTTGACATCTTCCTGTCTTCCACCACCGTGCCCAAGATGCTTGTGAACATCCTGACTCAGAGCAGAGCCATCTCCTTCACAGGATGCCTTACCCAGATGTACGCCTTCCACCTGTTCGGCACCATGGACAGCTTCCTTCTGGCCGTGATGGCTGTGGACCGGTTCACAGCCATCGTCCACCCGCTGCGCTACTCGACCCTCATGAGCCCCCGTGTCTGTGGGCTGCTTCTGGGGGCACCGTGGGTGATCACCAACCTCCAGTCTCTCATACACACCTGCCTCATGGCTCGGCTGACCTTCTGCGCTGGCTCTGAAATCTCCCACTTCTTCTGCGACCTTATGCCCCTGCTAAAGCTCTCCTGCTCTGACACGCACACCAACGAGCTGGTGATCTTGACTTTGGGCATCCTCATGGGCCTCAGCCCTCTCTTCTGCATCCTCCTCTCCTACACTTGTATCTTCCGGGCCGTCCATGGGATCCCCTCCTCCCAGGGCAAGTGGAAAGCCTTCTCCACTTGCGGCTCACACCTCACTGTGGTGTCACTGTTCTATGGGACCATCTTCGCTGTGTACCTCCAGCCCACGTCTCCCACCTCCTCCCAGAAGGACAAGGCAGCTGCCCTGATGTGTGGGGTGGTCATCCCCATGCTGAACCCCTTTATCTACAGCCTGCGGAACAAGGACATGAAGGCAGCCCTGAGGAAGCTCATTGGCAAAGTGGCCTCCTACAGGTCCTAGGACAGAGCTGTTCCTGGGCACCTGTCATGTTCCATGACCGCTGTTGGGTGCTGGGGACACAGGGATGTGCCCCATCCCTACCTGCAAGGAGTTCGGCATCTGATGGGAAAGAGAGACACGTAAACAAATCCTTCCAGGACAATGTAGTAAAGGTGTTAAGGACATGAATGGACGCCTGTCATCCCAGCGCTTTGGGAGGCCGAGGCAGGAGGATTGCTTGAGCCAAGGAGTTTGAGACCAGCCTGGGCAATATAGCGAGAACTCGCCTCTACAAAAAATAAAAATGAAAAAGATGAATGAAGTTCTGTGGGCATCCAAAGGGGAGCTGTGCATTTTCCATGTGATTTACACTCCCCAAGAAGATCAGAGTGGCAGGAAAGATATCAAGGAGGATCACTGGAGCCAAGGAGCTTGAGGTTGTAGTGACCTATGATCACACCAGTGCACTACAGCCTGGACAACAGAATAAGATCCTGTCTCTATAAATAAACAAACAAACAAACAAACAAGTAAATACAACACAACACACACACACACACACACACACACACACACACACACACACACACACACAAAGGGGGGGACCCAAGAAAAATGGAATTATTTTTTGAGAGTGTGCTCCTTGTAGTACAGGCACCCTCCACTAGGAGAGTATTCTAGGAACCCATCAGCAGCATCAGTGTACAAGTTAGCACCGTTGTGAAAGAGACTGCGTTTGGCTTCAGTGATTGTTTTTGGAGATACTTTCAACGTGTTTGCCTTTTTCATGGTGGGTGATTTACAAGAACAACCTGCCCACAATGTGCTGAGTGTTCAGCAGTTTTGACCAAAAATGGCATGACCCCTGTGTCCCACCCTCCCTATTCACCCAATATCACCCCACGTGATTTTTTTTATGTTTCCCTGGATGAAAAAAGTCCTCAAAGGGAAAACTTTTGCCAATGGGAAGATGTAAAACAAAAAACGGCAGAAGCACTGAAAGGTTTCAAAATTGACGAGTTCCAAAACTGTTTTGAGCAGTGGAAAAAGCACCTCAATCGGTGTATTGCATCAAAAGGAGAATACTTTGAAGGTGACTGAAGTTTAAACATGTAAAAATAAATACACAAATTTTTATAAATAAATTCTGGGTTTGGGGGCATCCTCCATGTGTGTGTGTGTGTGTGTGTGTGTGTGTGTGTGTGTGTAGATAGAGAGAGAGAAACAGTTCATGTATTAACCAGTTATATCATTGTTTCCTATATGTTGGGGAATAACTTTGTGGGATTTGGGGGGGTTGTTTGTTGTTTTGTTTTGTTTTGCTTTGAGTAGGGGTCTCACTCTGTCGCCCAGGCTGGAGTGCAGTGGCTTGCTCACGGCCATCGCAGCCTCAACCTGCTGAACTCAAGCGATCCTTCCACCTCAGCCTTCCAAGTAGCTGGAACTACAGGCATGCACCACCACACCTGGGTGACAGAGGTGGTATAGAGACAAGGTCACATCTTGTTGCTCATGCTGGTCTCGAATCCCTTGGCTCAGGCGATACTCTCACCTCCACCTCCCAAAGTGCTGGGATTACAGATATGAGCCACCATGCCTGGCACTCCTGCCAACACCTTAATCTCAGACTCCTAGACTCCAAGATTGTGAGAGAATAAATTTCTGTTGTTTCAGCCACTTAACTTTGTCAAGACATCCCCAGGAAACAAATGCAGTTAGTTTAGGGAACATTGGCATCCTGCAAAGTCTATGCCCAGACACATCCTCTCAAGTTTATGACCAAACATGTTCTGATTAAGGGACTTCAGGTAATAAAAGAAAAGAATGAGGAATTAAAATTGCACGGACAGCCTGGGCAACACAGCAAGACCTTATCTCTACAGAAAATCAAAAAATTAACCAGGTGTGGTGGCATGTGCCTATAGTTCCGGCTACGTGGGAGGCTAAGGCTGAAGGATCACCTGAATCCAGGAGGTCAAGGTTGCGGTGAGCAGTGATTGTGCCACTGCACTCCAGCCTGGGGACAGAGTCAGACTCTGTCTCAGAAAATAAAATAAATAAAATTGCATGGACTCTTTTGCTGGGTATCAGTGTGATGACAATAGCAATGCTGACAGCTGAATGCTCCAGAACCTTCTATAATCCATGTGGGGAGGGGTATATGGGAAGCTTATTGATGACTGCTGAGAATTATTACAGCCACAGTCCTAAGCCCTTCATATGCACCATCTCATTGCATTTTAAACAACATCCCTACAAGTTCAGTTGTATAACCCTTGTTTTTACAAAAGAGGAATCTGAGGCTTGACATGGGAAGCCACTGATAAATGGTAGCCAAGGTTTGAGCAGAAGCCGGGCGTGATGGCTCATGTCTGTAATCCCAGCACTTTGGGAGGTGGAGGTGAGAGGATTGCCTGAGCCCAGGAGTTTGAGACCAGCCTGGGCAACTTGGCAAGATCTCGTCTCAACAATAAATCAAAACTTTAGCCAGGTGTGATGGCATACACCTGTGGTTTCAGCTACTTGGAAGGCTGAGGTAGAAGGATCAGCAGGTCGAGGCTGCAGTAGCCGTGAGCGTGCCACTGCACTCCAGCCTGGGTGACAGAGTGAGACTCCAACGCAAAAAACAAAACAAAGTTTGAGCAGAGAACCCATTTCAGATCCCCAGATCTTGATAAGAACATACACTGTTTAGAATGCTTAGAGTCTAGAGCAGAAGTCTGTAAACTATAGTCCACAGGCCAAATCTAGCCCACTGTCTTTATTTATATGGCCTGTGAGCTAAGAGATTTTCATATTTTTAAGTGGTTAGAAAAAAATTAAAAGAAGAATATCCCATGAAAGATTAAATGTATATAAAATTCTGACTAGGCATGGTGATGCATGCCCGTAGTCCCAGCTACTCCAGAGGCCAGGGCAGGAGGATCACCTGAGCTCAGGAAATTGAGGCTGCAGTGAGCTATGATTACACCACTGTACTCCAGCCTGGGCAACACAGCAAGACCTTATCTTTAGAAATGTGGCATGTCTGTAGTTCTAGCTACCTGGGAGGCTGAGATGGGAGAATCACTTGAGCCCAGGAGTTCAAGACAGCAGTAAACTATGATTCGGTTATTACACTCCACCATGGGAGACAGAGCAAGACCGTGTCTCAAAAAAAAAAAACAAAAAAAACCGTAGGCAGGGTGCGGTGGCTCAAGCCTGCAATCCCAGCACTTTGGGAGGCCGAGGCGAGAGGATTGCCTGAGCTCAGGGGTTCAAGAGCAGTCTGGGCAAATTTGTGAGACTTTGACTCTACAATAAATGAAAAAAATAAGCCAAGCATGGTAATGTGCACCTGTAGTTCCAGCTACTTGGAAGGCTGAGGGGAAGGATTGCCTGAGTCCAGCAGGTCGAGGCTGTGGTGGCCGTGAACATGTCACTGCACTCCAGCCTGGGCAACAGAGTGAGATCCTGACTGAAAAAAAAAAAGGCACATCACTGGGCTGGATGGGGGTCCTGTAGAAAAACTGGGACCCAAACAGTCTTTGAGGTCAGAGACTCAGGAGAATCAGATCTGGGGTGCTTCTCTGGTCCCTGCAGTGGCCAGGGTCCTGAATGGGGCCTTCCAAATTCCGCTCTAAAACCTTTGAAAGAATCTAAGGTATGATTAGAGAAAGCAGCCACAAGGTGGCAACAGTGCCGTTTCACAAAATCAATTTAAAGCGCTTTTTTTTTTTTCCTCCCCCTTAAACATGTATTCTAGCTGTGAACCGGCCCAGTTTCACAGGCCTCACATGTAGACTTTCCCAAGAGAGAACAGCATGCACAAAGTTTCTGTGGCAGGAGGGAGACTGGGTTGTTCAGAGAAATCATGGAGACTGGTGTGGCACCCAGCTCGGTGACAGGGCAGTTGGACGTGTAGGGGCTGATAGAGGGTGACAGGAGTCACATGGTCTGTGCACCATGGAGATGGAGACCACCACAAGGTTTGAGGATGGGGAGGGCTTGTGCTTCAGCTGAGGATTAGAAGTCAGTAAACTTTTTATCAAGGACCTAGTAGTCAATATTGTCAGCTTTAAGGACCATATCCGTTATAATAACAACTCTGCTGTCTAGCCTGAAAGTAGCTATAGGAGTGGGTATGGCTGTGTACCAATAAAACTTTATTTATAGACACTGGAATAAATGCCATATTTCATGCCACAAAATGTAATATTGGGGGTTGTTTTCAACCATTAAAAAAATATTTAAACTATTCTTAGCTCCAAAGTCAGATTTGCCCTGAGGTCTATAGGTTACCAACCCTAGTACAGATAAAGAGGAGTGACAAGAAGCATGGAAACCAAGAAGGACTGAGAAGTGAGAGATGTGGTGGGTTGAATCCCACCAGTTAAAAAAAGAGATGGTGCCCCAGGGCCTTTGCATATGCTGAGAGTTCATGTCTGCTTAGCTTTGACATTTCAACACAAACCACACTTTCTCAGGGAAGCCTTACTCCCATGCCCTACCCCAGCTATGTCAGGTGTCCTGTTACACTCACAATCCTCTCATTCTCCTCATCACTGTAGTGATTTATTCTGGTTTGTGTAATTATTTGATTAATGTCTGTTTCACCCTTTTGACTGTGAGCTGAAGGCTGAAACTACGAAAGGAAACCCAAAAATCAGAAGTATCTTTTGGAGGGCAGGCCCCTTGTAGTACAGGCTTCCCCCACTAGGCGAGTGTCCTAGGAACCCTATGGCATCAGTGTACCAGCTAGTGTTGTTATGAGAAATGATTTGTGGAAGAAACATCCCAAGTTGTGGCAAACAGGTGACTGGTTCTTCCACCATGACAACACACCTGCCCATACCACGTTGAGTGTTCAGCAGTTTTTGGCCAAAAACAGCATGACCCCTGTGCCTCACCCTCTCCCTGTTCATCCGCTCTTGCTCCAAGAGACTTTTTTGTTTGTTTCCCAAGATGAAAGAAGCCCTCAGAGGGAAACGTTTTGCTGAAGTGAAAGATATGAAACAAAAAACGACAAGAGCACTAGAAGGCATCAAAATCGATGAGTTCAAAAACTGTTTTGAGCAGAGGAAAAAGCATCTCAATAGGTGTATTGCATCAAAGAGTACTTTGAAGGTGACTGAAATTTAAGCATGGAACACTAAATACACAATTATTAATAAATAAATTATGGGGTTTTCTTGCCCAATTCAGTGCCTTTGTGATTAGTATGGTGACTGCTCAAAATATATTTGTTGAATGAATGAACAAGGAGGCCATGTGATGGAAAGACACTAGGATGCCAGATGGGATGGACAAAGTAGGCTGGGTTGGAACAAAGATTCTGCAGTCAAGGTTAAGTTGTTGCAATGTGAGACGTAAACTCCTCCTCTGACACCCTCAACCTTCAGCAAAGTCTTTCCCAAACCCAGATGTTTCTGCTGAAAACAAAGAGAGGCCAGCTGCCTCATCCCATAGAGCAGGACTGGCAAGAGGGCAAAACTATTTAATTTGGCAATAACGGGACACTATCAGAAAATACTCTTCTGGGGATTCTCCAAAATCTCAGCAGGGATGTTGGAAGGGTGTTAGAGTCAATCTTACCTAGATCTAAAGGCATAGCGTGCTTCTGGTCAGTATTAAGAGTACAAGAACACTTCTGTTTCTCCATGAAAATATTTTATTTTCTTTTAGAGACGAGGTCTTACTGTGTTGCATAGACTGGTCTCAAACTCCTGGGCTCAAGCAATTCTCCTGCCTTGGCCTCCCAAAGTACTGGGATTACAGACATGAGCCACTGTGCCCAACCCTCCGTGCAGAATCTTATTGAGTAATTTGAAACAATTCTGGAGATTCAGGCACTGAAGCTCTGAGGAAAGGTGACCATCCAGGGTCACACACCAGAACAGGGGCAGAACAGGAGTATCCAACCTAGCCTGGTATGACCCCCAAACCTGTCCCCCATTCCATCATGATTCTGGATGACCTCCCAGGTGAGTAACTTGCCCAAGGTCAGGCTGCAGTTTGGAACAATTCAAAGCCTGTACCCAAGAGGAAGGAGCAGCCCTATGAGAGGCCCTGGGGAGTGACAGGTGGACAAACTGGAGGGAGCGGCTACTTCCAGCAAAATGTGAGAAGGACTTACCGCACTTTGGGCTGAAGGTCCCAGCAGCACATCTCTATTCCCAAATGTCCATATGCCAGGAACCTAGTGGGTCATGGGGGGTGATCCCATCTCTGTAAACCTGTGTGATTGGGAGTCCCCAAGACCAGGCTCAACTTCAGTGATTCATTAGAAGGACCTACAGAACTCAGCAAAGTTGTTATACTCATGATTGTCACCCAGGTGAGACCATGCCCAGCCTCAGGAAACTGCTTTATGATGAGTTGATCCCCTCTCTCCCTCTAGCTCCCTCTACTCTGAGTTCTGACATCTGGCCAAGAAGCCCTGAATAGACTGGGCATTCACCTCCTTATCCTGGAAGGTGCTGGATATAAGTGGGCCTCCAGTGTGAAACAACTGGGAATGACAACAGGAGATGGAGGAAGCTTGTTCCCAATACCTTCTGTGTCTTCCATGTCTCAAGGACTAAGGATCCCAGAGAGCTGGCAGGATGGAGAACTTAGCCCCAGAGACACATGCCCCACCCCCAGAGCCTTGATAACAGCAGGATTTAGTCTTCCTTTGGACAAATGAAGAAACTGAGGCTCAAAAGAGAGAATGTCTTTGTTTGAGGCTCCCCTAGAAGCCAACCCTGAGATAAGGATTCGAGTCCAAGTAGTCTATTTGAGAAATAAATAGGAATTACTAGAAGTGGAGCGGATATGTGAGTTGGGGAAGGGAAGGAAGTCAGTAAATAGCATATTGATAAGCAGGTTTCCACTGTGGGCAGCTGGAGCTCAATCCTGTGGGGACCACAGGGGGTCAGTGTAGAGCATACACCTCAGTCATCCCACAGTGTGGCAAGGGAACTGGGGTATTTATCCACCAACTCCTACTGTCTGCCACAGAGGTGCAAAGCTCTGCTCAAACCTGGCCAGAGCCTCTACCTCCATTTGGTCCTTCAACAAATTTTATTTTGTGCTGGGTCCTGGTTGATCTATCAGGCACCAAAAGCACAGCACATCAAGCCTACAGCCAACGACAATATTTGGGGGAAAGAAAGTACACACATACACACACACAGAGGCTCCAAAATCTGTACAACAACCAGCAAAATCCAGAAGAATAAGCATACAAACTTCATTAAGTGTGAAATTTGGTATTAATAATCATTTCATTACATACAATTTGAAGATAATTTATCCTCACATGCCAAGAATCTCTGATTGCTAAGAAAGAATCATAGTCAGTCGTGAAATAAATGGGCTACAGGTAGGCAAATAAATACAACAGGAAAAGTACAGAAACCCTGTCAAAAATATTTACAAAAAATGATGATAAATATGTGGGTGTGATATGGGTGGGAGCAAAGGCTGTTTTTGTCTCCAAATCAGCCCCTAGTGCCTCTTAGCCTCTGGGATACCCCACTAGGACCCCAGTCCTACATCCCCTGTAATCAATCTGTGAAGAAGTGATGTCTTGACCTGACCTCTCACCTTGACCCTGTCAACAATTGCCGCAAAGGTATCTGGGCTGGGATCTCATAGGAACAAGTGTACCCCCACACTTTTCAAGACTGATTCCTCCCAAATACACACATCCAAGGAGAATGAACAGCACCTAAGAGATATGTAGGACACCACCAAGAATAGCAACATATGCATAATGGAGTCCCAGAAAGAGAGAAATTAGCAGAAAGAACATTTGAAGAAATCATGGCCCAAAATTGATGAAAGACATGAATCGACATAATCAAAAATCTCAACACACTCAAAGAAGGACAAACACAGAGAACAATACCAAGACACATTAAAACCAAACACGCAGCCAGGCATAGTAGCTCACGCCTGTAATCCCAGCACTTTAGGAGGTGGAGGTAAGAGGATTGCCTGAGCCCACAGGTTCAAGACCAGCAACATGGTGAGAACTCATCTCCACAATAAATAAAAAAATTAGCTGGGTGTGGTGGCGCATACCTGTGGTTCCAGCTACTTGGATGACTGAGGCAGAAGGATCTCCTGAGCCCAGCAAGTCAAGGCTGTGGTGGCTGTGAGCATGCCACTGCACTCCAACCTGGGTGACAGAGACTCCTATTCAAAAAATAATAAATAAATAAATAAAACCAAACACATACAACCTCCTCTGTCCAGCCCTCCTGGACTCCCTTCTATTCAGGTCTCCATCATCTAACATATGAGCTCTCTGAACATTCAGCAGTGAAGAAGACAGAAAAGCATCATCTGGTAGAGCCCTGGTCTAGACAAAGAGGCAGATAAACTAGAAGAAACCACTGGAACCATTAAATTCAAGCTGTGGCAAGTGTTAGAAGAAAAGAAACAGGCCAGGCTCGGTGGCTCAGCCTGTAATCCCAGCACTTTGGAAGGCCGAGGCAAGTGGATTGCCTGAGCCCATGGGTTCGAGACCCGCCTGGGCAACTTGGCAAGACCTTGACTCTACAATACATCAAAAATTAGCCAGGCATGGTAGCACGCGCCTGTAGTTCCGGCTACTTGGAAGGCTGAGGGGGAAGGATCGCTGGAGCCCTGCAGGTCAAGGCTGTGGTGGCTGGGAGCATGCCATTGCACTCAGTCTGGGTGACAGAGTGAGTCTCCAACTCTAAAAAAAAAAAAGAAAAGAAACAGAAACAGAGTGATGTGGTAATAACTAGACAGCAGTGGCGAATAGGACGGGCCTCCTGAGGACTTAAAAATTGAGAGAGAGGCAGGGAAACTCTCAGAAGAATCAGGGTTTCCCAGGCAGAAGGAGCTATATGTGCAAATGACTTGAGAAAGAAACAGTTTAATGCAAAGAAAGACAAGAAAGAGACCACGGTAAGTGAATGGGATGCACAAGATGAGACCAGAAGTCTTTTTTTTTTTGAGTTGGAGTCTCACTCTGTTGCCCAGACTGGAGTGCAGTGGCC